GGGGAGGGGCTGATGGAGGAGAGGCTGGTGGAGGAGTCTCTGCCATGGGAAGGACCCCGTGGGGAGCAGGGCAGGATTGTCAGGAATCCTTCTCCCTGAGGAGGAAGGAGCAGCAGGAACCACCAGTGACTCTGAACCCCATCCCCTGTGCTGGGGGGAAGGAGGGAGAGAAATGGGGAACAAAGGGATTTGGGCCTGGGAAGAAGGGAGTTGGGGGGTGAGGTGTGTGAGCCCTGCTTTGTCCTAGTTCTACCTAAAGACACAGTCCTGCAGGTCCTGCTGCAGGTTCCAGCTCCCAGCCCCTCTCCCAGGCCTGGCTGAAGCCTGGATGGTGAAGGCAAATCCTCCCAGTGAGGCCTCGTGTTCCCAGTGCCCAACTGAAAGAAGATCAACCAGTCCCACCATTAACCCAACCCTGCCCAGGTCACCAGTGCCCCGTGTCCCTCAGCACCATCTCCAGGGCTTGGAGACCCCTCCAGGGATGGGGACTCCCCCCCTGCCCTGGGCAGCCTGGGCCAGGCCCTGACAACCCTTGCCAGGAAGAAATTGCTCCAAAAATCAAATCTAAACCTCCCCTGGAGAAGCTTGAGGCCAACTCCTCTTGTCCTGCCACTTGTTCCTTGAGAGAAGAGACCAACCTCCCTCATTCCAGCCCCCTTTCAGGGAGCTGTAGATCCAAAGTCTTGCTCTCACCAAGATGTTTAGATTTAACTCCATCAATTCTGGCTGCTTATTTAGAATTTAACGCCATCAATCCTGGCTGCTTCAAGTGAGGGCAACTAAACCCAGCATGGGAGGAGGAGAAGACCCTCTGCTGAACCTGCCCAGCCAAGCTGGGCTGTGCATGAGGGTGGCAGAATTGCTCCTGATCACAACAGCCTGCAGAGCAGGAGCAGCAAGTGTCCTTCAGAATCCATTAGGATGGGCAGAAATCAGGGTGTTTGTTCCCTTGGGTTGCTGCCAGGTGGAGATGGTTGGTGTGGTGGCCACCCCTGTGCCCCCCCCTTCTTTAATGAGCCAGAATTTGCACAACTGCTGCTTTTCACCTTTTTTCTCAGCCACCCATAGATGATCTGATCAGGATCATCATCCACCTGTGGGATCCAGACACGAGCTTCATTTGGGAAATGAAACGTGCCTGGAAACCACCCAGGATTTTCATTTTTGTTGCCTACACTTTCTTCCTTGCGGGAAAGATGTTCCCCCAGATGTGCAGCCTGGGGAGGGACTCCCTTGGAAATTCACCTCAAGATCCTGACTCCCTCCAGCTTTTCCCCTTTTAAAATCAGAACCAAACACCTTTTTTAAAGCCTTTTACCTGCCTTTTTTTTGTTGTTGTTGAGCAGATTTTAAAAATGCATTTATTTCCCCCCTGCTCCCTCCAGAAGCTTTATCCTAATAAATAACTCACAGGTGAGAAGGAGGAATTTTATTGGAGTGTAGGAGCAGAGACAATAATCTTGCAAGAAAAATGCATGTTTAGCAGAGGAAACAATTTATAAATCAATTACTTGTGGTTCCTGTGAGAAAGAGAAGCCTGGAATAATTCAGGGTAATTTCTTCCTGCAGAGTGTCAAGTGAAATAAATATGAGTTTGAAGGTCCCATGTGGGGTCAAGGCTAAATACTGTGATTTATTGTTGTCCAGAAACTGTGGAAGAACCATCAGAGAATGGTGAGGATGAGGGGAAAATACAATTATTTTAGTGCATCTTGGGCTTCCTCCCGGCAGGGGAAAACCTTCACTTTGGAGCTGGTACAGCTCTTTGGTGACGGCTGGAGATCCTTCTCCCCAGCTTCAGCAGAGCCCCCTTCACCTCCTTGTTCCTCAGGCTGTAGATGAAGGGGTTGAGCGTGGGGGTGACCACGGTGTAGAGGATGGAGGCCACCTTGTCCTGGCTGCCGTGGCGGGAGGCGGGTTGGAGGTACATGTAGAACAAGGTCCCGTAGAACAAGGAGACGACGGTCAGGTGGGAGGTGCAGGTGTTGAAGGCTCTGGACCTGCTCTGTGCCGAGCTGGTGGCCAGGACCGCGTGGAGGATGCGGCTGTAGGAGAGCAAGATCATCCCAACCGTGCTCAGGCCGTTGAAGCTCACGAAGATGAAGATGAGCACCTGGCTGAGGCGGGTGTCGGAGCAGACCAGCCTGAGCACGGGGGTGGTGTCGCAGAAGAAGTGGTCGATGTGGTTGTGGCCGCAGAAGGAGCCTCCAAAGGTGCAGGCAGTGAAGACCAGGGCGCTGAGGGAGGCTATGAAGTAGCACCAGGCCACCAGCTGCCAGCACACGCGGCTGGAGATGATCCTGAAGACGACGGTCAGGTGGGAGGTGCAGGTGTTGAAGGCTCTGGACCTGCTCTGTGCCGAGCTGGTGGCCAGGACCGCGTGGAGGATGCGGCTGTAGGAGAGCAAGATCATCCCAACCGTGCTCAGGCCGTTGAAGCTCACGAAGATGAAGATGAGCACCTGGCTGAGGCGGGTGTCGGAGCAGACCAGCCTGAGCACGGGGGTGGTGTCGCAGAAGAAGTGGTCGATGTGGTTGTGGCCGCAGAAGGAGCCTCCAAAGGTGCAGGCAGTGAAGACCAGGGCGCTGAGGGAGGCTATGAAGTAGCACCAGGCCACCAGCTGCCAGCACACGCGGCTGGAGATGATCCTGACGTACAGGAGGGGTTTGCAGATGGCGACGTGGCGGTCGAAGGCCATGGAGGCCAGGAGGTGACACTCGGAGGTGACGAAGAAAGCAAAGCCGTGGAACTGAGCCACGCAGCCAGCGAAGGAGATGGTCCTGTCCTCTGCCAGCAGGTCCCTCAGCATCCTGGGGGAGATGAGCGTGGAGTAGCAGGCGTCCATGAAGGAAAAATGGGCCAGGAAGAAGTACATGGGGGTGTGGAGACTGGGGACTGTCCAAACCAAGAGCATCAGCCCAACGTTCCCCACCAAACACACGATGTAGATCAGGAGAAACAGCTCAAAGAGCAGGACCTGCAGGCACGGGTTGTCTGTGATTCCCAAGAGGACAAACTGAGTCTGTGTCTGGTTTCCTCCCATCGCCAGACGTCGGAAAGGAAGGGAAAAAAATAGTGAAATTATATAAAAACAACCAACCAACCGAGAGTTTTGCTCTGGGACCAGATTTCGCTCCCACCACTCACCAGTTTTGCTGCCCCGTTTTGGTAGGTTCTGCTAGAAGGAGCCCCCAGTGATGTCTGGGTTTTTGGGTTTCCCCTTGAGCTCCCTAGATAAGAGCAGGAGCTGAAGAAATTCAAAAGGCAATTTGGTTTTTCTGTGCTTGGAGAGTTACAGGAGCAGAGATTTTTTGCAGCCTGGGCGTTGTCAGATGTAAGAAAAGAACTGGATCCTCCTTCCCTTTCACTCTGGAAGGAACTGGTTTCAGAGGAGCCTTGGAAGGGAGCACAGAAACCCCTGGAGCAGGAGAAAGTCCTAGTGAAGCCACAGATGAGACAGTACTAATGACCTCCAGGCTTTTTCCCTTGGCTTTTAATTATTCTTCCAGTCTTCAAACCACCTTTAGCAAACTCACACATCACCTCCAATGGATAAAATTCACAAGTTGATGATCATTTATCTGGAGGAGACTGAGGAGGCAGCACCTGGTGACCCACAGGCCTGGAGCTCAGCTGCTTCTCCTTGGAAATGGAGTTAATTTTAAAATGAGCTGATTCCAAAGGCTGATTTGTTAAGGAGGATGTTCTGCTGACCTCCTGAAATGGCCAGGTATTTTTTTCCCAAACAAACCAAGACTCACCCTTGTTTGCCAGGTGCATGAAGGAGCTCACCTGGCTTTGGGAAAAGCCAAGGAGTTTTCACAAGATGAGGCTCCCCCTTCTTCCTAAGGAAAGCTGCTCTGGGAAGGCTGGTTCCTGAGACAGCCCCAGAGAAGGAGGAGGTGAGGACATGAAGGACAAAGCCTGTGCCAGGGTGTTCCTGCTCCGTTGCTGCTCCCCACTGATGGGAGCCAAGGGCTCCTCCCCAGTGCAGCACAGAACATCTACCTGAGGTGATAAATATGCTCCCTCATGGTCTCCTGGGAGAGAAGCCCCAGGGGCTCCTCAAGGCAGGTTTTGCCAGAGCAGAGCAAACACAAAGGGAAACCAAAACAAGGGGTGAAATGCAGTTCTGAGCCCTGGGGCAAAGGAACAGGGATGTGCTGGGGGCTGCTGGGGACAAATGGGTTGGGAAACCTCGACCTTGGTCCCGAAGACGGGGTCACTAGTTGGCCTTGGGTCAGGCCGTTCACCAGCCTGCCCCAGGGGTGAGTTGGCTGCTTTTATTGGTGTTTACAGCCTCGTATTAATAAAATCTCCAGAACTCAAGCCCTTCTGGCCACTTGTAGCTGGAGAATTCCTTGCCCTTCTGGTCTTGAGCAACAAGAAGTCTCACCCTGTGTGTTCAGTGTGACCTGAGTTCTCTTTGTCTCAAATAGTGGGAGGATTTCTGCTGGACACAAGGCTCAGGTGATGTATTTTTCCCAGTCCTGGGCTTCTTTACAAGAACTTGCTGCTATGAGGGCCTTGGGCCCTTTTCTGCAACTAATTTTAGCTCAGCTGGTGCCATCTTTTCAGATTAATTAAAGTAAGTCCTGCAGTGCCTGCAAGACCATGCTTGAGGACCTCAGAGCTGCCACCTGGCACTTCTCTGAGTAATTATGAAATTACCCCTTCATCAGGAACCTGCTCCTGGCATGTTGATCTTGTTTTGGTCTTGTCATTAACTGCTCTTCCTTGGTTTTGAGCAATTGTGTGATTTCTCCTCCAAAAATAAATCGTAACCTACAGGGAAACGATTAATAAACTTTGGTGACCCCACTGAAGCTGCTCTCAGAGACCAGCAGGGCAGGAAAGAGCACTGACCAGCAGCCCACAGGAGCCAGAAAGGGTTAGAAGTCATCCTGAGCAGACCCAAGACTGGGCACCCACCAAACACACCACTGAACCTCCTCAGCAAGGTCTCCTGGGAGAGGGGCTCCTCAAGGCAGGTTTTGCCAGAGCAGAGCAAACACAAAGGGAAACCAAAACAAGGGGTGAAATGCAGTTCTGAGCCCTGGGGCTGCTCTGGGTGTCTGAAGGACACCCCATGGAGCAGCCACCACAGACACAGAAACTCATGTGATGCCCCTGAGATCCTGCTGGACCACGCAGAGGTTTGGGTGGGATCTTGCCCACAGGATGAGAAGGGGATTAGAGACATTTCAGGTCTTGCTGAGGAACCCCAAGTGGTTCCTGAAGCACAGGTGAGTCTGGAGCTGCTGATGTTCCTCTCTGGACAGCCTGGTTTCCCAGCAGGGCTGGGACTGTCCACATTTAGGTCCATGTGTCCTGGATGGCCACAGCTGAGCTGGTGCCTCTGGGCTTCCCCTGCCTTCAGTGGTGAGAAAAGGGCATTTCCAGGGAGTGCTGAGTTGCCCCAGGGGGAACTGATCAGCCTTGGTGGCCCTGAGCAGCCTCAGCTGGGGCTTCCATCCCCACCCTCTGCCCATTGGCCACTCAGCTCTATTAAAGCTCAGCCCAGGGAGCTTGTTCCTCCCTCAGGTTATGCTGGTTTCCAGTCTAGCAGTAGGTGTGCCCACCAGTGGGTTCCATTGATCCACATCTCTCCTGGATCATGGACCTGCCAGCTGGACCTGCCCAGGGGGTTGACTTGGCTGGCCCTTGGATTTCCCTGCTCATCTCCTCCTTGCCTGATGGTCTTGGCTGGATTTGGCCCAGGTCTCTGGGTCTCCCCTCCTTACTCAGGTACTGTGGGATGGTTCCTTGCAATCTCCAGACCCAGCACAACCCCCCTCACCCTCTGCACCCAAGAGCCCAACCTCTGTTTCCTCCTTGGGCAGCCTCTCTCCATCCAGCCCATGTCCCTGCTTGGTACCATGGGAGACACTCTTGTTGGTGAGGGAAGCCAGGATTTGACTTTGTCATGGAGTGGTTTGGGTGGGAGAGACCTTAAAGCTCATCCAGTCCCACCCCTGCATGGGCAGGGACACCTCCCACCAGCCCAGGTTGCTCCAAGCCCCATCCAACCTGCCCTTCAACACTGCCAGGGATGGGGCAGCCACAGCTTCCCTGGGCAACCTGGGCCAGGCTCTCACCACTCTCACAGCAAAGAATTTCTTCCTAAGATCTCACTAAGTCTGTACTCTTCCATTTCTCCTCCATTCCCTAATTTGACACTATAATGAGGGTCTCCAGTTGGTTGCCAACATGTTCTTTCTGCAACAGGGAGAGAATTCCTTAAGATTTTCAAGGTTCAGTGAAGACTGGGAAACTCTTTCCAGCTTGGGTGTTCCCAGAGCTGCAAGATGCTGAGCTGGCATTTCCAGGAGATGCTGCTTCTCAAGAACCTGGCAGCACTTTCTGGCTCCCAGGAGACAACCTATCCTCAGGGTGAAGGAGGTGAGAGCTCCAGGCTTCCAGCTCTTGAAATCACTGGGGGAATTTTCAGTCATGGCTGAAGGAGAGGAAAAAAATGAGAGGGCCTGGGCGGGGGGGTGATGTGCCCAAAGGGGGTTGTTGGCAGCTTCACCCAAACAACTTGGCTGGGAAGGAATGAATAGTGGAGACAGGAACCTCTGGGAGGCACAGACCTCCAAACCCATGTAGAAAGACAGAGGAGACTCAGAATCAATTTCCTTCCCTGAAGCTCTGATGTATCAAGCAAGGGAGAAGGTGGGAAATGAGGGTTTATCCTGAAGTCCGTGGTGGTTGGTGCAGGCAGCTGAGGAAGCTCTGCTCAGAGCCAAAGCTGAGGAGATGCAGCTGTGGCTGCCACAAGAGCCAGCAAGTGGGTGTTTCTCTTGGCAAACACATCCCTGACTGGAACAGCCCTGTCCACGTGCAGGAGAAACCTTGGGTGTATCTGCTGTGTCTCCCCTGTCCCCAGGCACAGCCCTGCTGAGGGACCTGCTGGTGGTTTGGGCCCCTTTCTGAGATGAGCAGACACAATTTCCTGGGGTTTCCAGGGGGGCATGGTCTGGGTTTGGGCACTGCTGCTCTGCTCCTTCCCCTCAGCCATGAAAAGGTGCTGGTTCTGTTGGGTCTTGGAATGAACTTGGAGCAAATGACAACAGGCAGGGCAGCAGTTCAGGCTGAAGAAGGGCTGGACCTTCTCAGCGGTGGCTGAAGCAGCTGTTGAGATGCAGTTTGTTCCCCACTGGCTTTGGCAGTGATCACTTCTGGTTTGGAAAGCAAAAGCACCTTGGTTTTGTTCCTGAGCACCCAGTTCAAAGCCTGAGCTGCCTGGGGTGGTAAAAAAGGGTCTCTGGGACATGATGGACCTGAAGAGTGAAGGCTGAGGTTGCTCTGGGTATGGTCAGAAGAAATGTCACTGCCTGTGAGCTGCTCTTCCTGTGGTGTGGTGAACACTGTGGCCAGGTGGGAATGATGCTGGTGGGTCCAGCTTTGTTGGGCTCACCCTTCTTTCCTTGAAATCAGCATGTGAAGGCAGGAGATGTGGTCAAAGCTTGGCTGAGCAGCTCGGGGGGCAGTGCAGAGAGGAGAGGTGGGTGCAGGTGCCTGTGGACTCCCTGAGCATCAGGCCAGGGGCTCTGGCAGCAGCACGTCAGTAGAAAATGTCTCTGTCTACAGAGCACAGGATGGAAAACCTTAATTAATGAAGCAAGAGGTGAAGTCATCCTAAGTGGTGTCCTGGAAACCAGGTCCCTGTCTCGGGGTGGGGAATCTCCTGATGGCTCAGGAGAACTGGGCTGTGGTGACAGAATTTGTCCTCAAGGGGTTCACAGACAACCCCGACCTGCAAGCTCCCCTCTTTGTGCTTTTCATGCTCATCTACACCCTGACCGTGGTGGGGAAACCTGGGCATCACTGCTGTGGTTCTGCTGGACTCCCAGCTCCACACCCCCATGTACTTCTTTCTGGGCAACTTGTCCTTCTTGGACCTGTGCCACTCCTCGGTGGTGCCACCCAAGCTGCTGCTGAGCCTCTCCTCAGGCAGGAGGACTATTTCTTACATTGGCTGCTTCCTCCAGCTCCATCTCTACGTGGCTCTTGTCATTGTGGAGTGTTACCTGCTGGCTGTGATGGCCTATGACCTCTACCTGGCCATCTGCCACCCCCTGCTCACGTCCCGCCACGTCTGTGCTTCCCTCCTGGCTGCCTCCTACACCCTTGGGGGTCTTAATTCCACCCTGCACATGGGCTTTGCCCTACGAGCCTCCTTCTGTGGCCACCACGTGGTTGAGCACTTCTTCTGCCACCGCTGGTCCAGCTGGCCTGCTCTGACACCCGCCTCACCCAAGTGCTGGTGTTTGTTTTGGGGGGGCTTCAACGAGGTCACCAACTGTCTCCATCCTCCTGGTCTCCTACAGCCACATCCTCCTTACCATCCTGAGGATGGGCTCCATGTGGGGCAGGCACAAAGCTTTTGAGACCTGTGGGTCCCACCTGGTGGTCGTCACCATCTTCTTCGGGACCCTCCTCTTCATGTACCTGCTTCCCAGCTCCAGCTGCTCCCTGGGCAGGGACAAAACCATCTCAGTCTTCTACATTGTGGTGACCCTCATGCTGAACCCCTGCATCTACAGCCTGAGGAACCAGGAGGTTGAAGAGTGCTCTGAAGAGAACCGTGAGGAGAAGGTTGATTTGTCTGTTCCAGGGGTAAAGGGTTGGACATCTGGGACTTGGGGTCTTGTTGCATGTGGAGAGAACTGTGATCACTCTTCTGTGTGTCCTTGTCCACGTTGTGGTCCAGCTTTGTCCACGTGGGGTTAATTTGTTATCAGTTTGCATGGGGGTGGTGAATTAGCAGCACCAAGAGAGGCTGGGCAGCGGATGGATGGGTGGGTGGATGGATGGATGGAGGACAGCCCTGAGGAGAAGGATTTGGGGCTGTTGGTTGATGGGAAGCTCAAAAACCAAGCGTGTCCTGGGCTGCATCCCCAGGAGCAGGACAAGCAGGGGATTGTCCTCATGTATTTGTGAGGTTTCTGCTGAGGACTTGGATCAGGAGCAGGACAAGCAGGGGATTGTCCTCATTGTGAGGTTTCTGCTGAGGACTTGGACCATCTTCTTCTCCTCTGTGTTTGGCCCAAGCCTACTTGTGGTCACCTTCTTTTGCAGTTTGGACATCATTCATCAGCACAGGGGACTGCCCAACCAAGTGCTGCACCTCCTCTGGCCATCAGATGGGACCTACAGACTGAAGGTGAACCTCAGTGCTTCCAGGTTAACCCTCCGGTAGGTGGACATGGAGAAAACCAAGGAGGATTGGATGGGAGAGGAGAAGATCTGCTCCTGAAGCAGCAGGAAACAGAGGAATTGGAGAGGAACTTCCCTGAATCCTCCTCTTCTACAATGACCCATCCAAGTGTGTTCCAAGGTATTTTGAAATGTTTCTGCTGCAATTTAATCCCTCAAAAAAGTGCTTTAGAGCCAACAAATCTTTCAAATGGCTGTGGGAATGCCCACCATGAAGTATGGGCTGGTGGCAGTTCCTGAGTGCACAGGGTGGTGGGATTTCTCAGGACACACATCCAGGTTTCAGGGTGTCAGGTAAAGCCCTGGGGCATCCGTTGCAATAAACCTCCTGCTCCTGGTTGTTTTTTGCTCTAGTTTTCTCAAATCTGTGCCTGGGAGGTTCCTTGGGAAAGAACTGGAAGGGGTTTTTGCAGTTGGACCTGGAGGGTTGGGGATAAAGTTGGGAACCAGTGTGAGTTGGTGGGGAAAAGGTTGGCAGGAAGTCCCCAAGCAGACACCCTGCTGTTGAAATCTTCACCCAACCAACCTCCCCTGGGGCAGCCCTGGGTTTTCTGCTGCTGGTTCTGGTTTCTGGTGCCACTGAAGGTGTCCTGCTGGCCTCCAGAAGGGTCATGGGCTACTCTAAGTCCTCTAAGAGTGTTTCCAGAGCCAGCTCTTTTCACCCTTGGAGATCACTGGCTGGACAAGGAGCTGGGACACCTCTAGCTCAGGTGTAGGTCCATGTGATGTGCTGACCTGGAGCAAGGTGAGCCCAAACCCATCCCAGGTGTCCATCTCTCAGCCAGTCCCCTAGACTCTCAGTGATACTGACAGAGAACTTGCCAGTTCATGACACCATCTCCTCTGGATGTGGCAAATCCTCCTCTGAGCTCCACTGAGTCTATTGATCCATTTCATCCCACCTGAGATACCACAGGACAGATGGACACAGGGTCTGCTGGATGCAGCACCAGATGGAGGGAGACTTGTGCCCTTCAGGGGAGCAGGAGAGATGTGTGGTGGGTCCCACATAGTCCTGGACACGCAGGGCTGAGCAGCTGAACCACCACCCTCATTTCTACTGCCTGCAAAGACAGCCCAGGCAGCTCCTCGTGTGTCTGTGCTTTGTGTTGACAACTGTCCCACAGAGCCCTCCCTGCTCTTCACCAGGAGCCTGGAAGCCTTTCAGGCCCCTTCATGGCCCAGAGGATGGGGTCAACCTTCAGCTCCTGCAGTCACCTCCCAGGCTTCCAGGCAGTGTTAATTAAGGGCAGCCTAAGCTGCTTGCAATTGGTGTTTAATTGGAGTAAAGTGCCCTTTGGATGCACCTTCTCACCTCCCCCTTGGTTGCAGAGAGGCTTGTGAAGAGGAGCTTGGACTCATTTGGGTCTCTACCCTTCCTGTCCCTGGGGCTGCCCAGTGTTGTAACAGTTTCTTGACGATGGTGACACTAATTAGTGTGGGGTTTGTGTCCTCCCCCCGTGCCCAGCTCAGCCTTTATTAGCAGTTCAGGCTGGCGTGGCTCTGGTGGTTTCTCACCAAGCAGACACTCAAGGTCCACTTCTCTGGGAACCCTGTGCTGTGGTCGAAGCCACCAGGAGCACTTGCTCCCTGGGGAATCGTGCCCCTTGCTCAGCAAGACCTGGGGAGACCCGTGGAAGAGCAACACCTTGCTGCAAGTGAAGGGCTTCATCTGATGAAGGTCTGAAGGAGGCTCTCCAGGAGAGACATCCCTGTGTCCCTGGGAGCTGCAGGGATCAGTCCCTCGGATGCACTGCACAGGCATCCCAAGAAGAGACCTTGCAGCTGGCCAGAGGAGGTTGACCCCATCCACAGGTAGGTGTGACCACCCCCACAAAAGGTCCAGGGGAGCTGGGACCACCCTGCTGTCAATCCCTGCAGCAGTGTCACCTCCCAGGAGGCTGCTGTGATTTACACCAGGTTTGCTTCTCTGTATAGGTTGGCGAGGATGAAACACTTTGGGATGCACTCCGGTGCTGCGGGTTCAGAAGATGAGGAATTGTGCTGCTTAGGGTATCTTTAAGGAGCCTGGGAGAAGAAGAGAGGAGAACACACTCAAGGGGAAGATCAACCTACCCACTGACCCCGAGACAAAGTGATTTTTTTTCACTTTAAAGAACAAAGACTATTTCTAGACAGAAATATCCTGCTGCTGGAGGCTGGTTCTTCAGTGAGTTGGCTGATCCTGGTGCTCATCTGGTGGGGTAAGACCTTGATTCCCATCATAAATCCTGGAGAGATTTGATTGTTGGAGTCTGAGCCTTCACATTCCTGGGGGAAGAAACCAGTGTTTCCCATTTTCACCAGGGTCAGGAGCTTAACTTGGTGTCCACATGTTGCCTCCTCTTCCAGCTGAGGGGAGGGGCAGGAGCTGCTGGGGCTTTGCCTGCTGCAAATGGGATGAGGGAGCCCCTATAACCACCCTAACCCACCCTGTGCCACCACCAGGCTCCTTCTGGGAAGGTTTTTCTCCTCAGCAGTTTTTTTTCTCCTCAGCAAATTCTCAGTCTCTTTCTTCCCCTCTTCTTTTTCCCTCCAGCTTCGTGGATCCCACCACATCTACCTCCAGGGATGGGGACTCTCCCCTGTCCTGGGCAACCTGGGCCTGACAACTCTTTGGGGGATGAAATTGTTCCTCATATCCAACCTACACCTCCCCTGGGCAACCTGAGGCCGTTTCCTCCTCTTCTATTGCTTGTTATGTGGGAGAAGAGCTGGACACCCACCGACTGGTCTGGGGGCCCTGGCTCAAGGGGGTGCAAGTTACCAAGTGATCTCATTTCAGTTTAATCAACAAAGGTGTGGGTTCCACTGTCATCACAGAAACCCAGACTGGTTTGTGTTAGGATAGACCTTAAAGATCATCTAGATCCAACCCCCTGCACGGGCAGGGACACCTCCCACCAGCCCAGGCTGCTCCAAGCCCCATCCAACCTGCCCTTCAACACTGCCAGGGACTGCCTGGGCAACCTGGGCCAGGGTCTCCCCACCCTCACAACAAAGAATTTCTTCCCAAAGTCCCACCTCAATCTCCCTCTTCCAGCTTCAAGCCATTGAAGTGTCCTGTGTTTTCAGGCTCCCTCCTTCCTGGGCAGACATGATGGCAGAGCATAATCACACCTCGGTGACCGAGTTCATTCTGCAGGGCCTGAGCGACCGAGCAGAGACGAAGGCAGCCCTGTTCACACTCTTCCTCCTTATCTACATCATCACCCTCCTAGGCAACACGGGGATCATCGTGGTCATCCGAGCTGACCCCCGGCTCCACACGTCCATGTACTTCTTCCTCGGCAGCCTCTCCATCCTTGACATCTGCTTCTCCTCCGTGGTTGCCCCCCGGATGCTGGTGAATTTCCTGTGGGAGAAGAAGACCATCTCCTTTGCTGGCTGCATGGGCCAAGCCTTCTTCTACATTGTCTTCGTGACCACCGAGTGCTTCCTGCTGGCTGCCATGGCCTACGACAGGTACGTGGCCATTTGCCACCCCCTGCTCTACCCCTCTGTGATGACCTGGAGGCTGTGCACGTGGCTGGTGCTGGGCTCCTACCTGGCAGGTGTCCTCAACTCCATCACACAGACCACCTTCATGGCCAGGCTGCCCTTCTGCAGCTCCAACCTCATCAACCACTTCTTCTGTGATGTCCCTCCCCTCCTGGCTCTGTCCTGCGCCAGCACCCGCCTCAGCGAGAACATCCTCTTCTCCTTGGCTGGTGCCATCGAGCTCAGCACCCTCTCCACCATCTTGCTCTCCTACGTCTTCATCTCCTTGGCCATCCTGAGGATCCGTTCAGCCTCGGGCAGGCAAAAAGCCTTCTCCACCTGTGCATCCCACCTGGCCGTGGTGACGCTGCTCTACGGGACGACCCTCTTCATGTACCTACGGCCCAGCTCCAGCTACTCCCTCAGCACTGACAAAGTGGTCTCTGTCTTCTACACCGTGGTCATCCCCATGCTGAACCCCCTCATCTACAGCCTGAGGAACCAGGAGGTGAAGGAGGCCCTGAGGAAAGCAGTGGGCAGGGTCGCCCGCGAGCGCTGAACCCTCCTCAGACCTGGTTTGCTCCGTGGAGCCTCCACCCTGGGGATCTTCAGAAGGTGCCTGGGTAGGACCACGAGCAGCCTTGATGTGTTTGTGAGCTCAGCCCTGCTGGGAACGGGGCTTGGAAACTTTTCGGACCAGGAAGGACATCAAAGGAGGTTGTTGGTCCTATGAAAGGCAAGTTCAACCCATGGACACACCTCCACATATATAAAAATGTGTAAATGCATAAAAATGACAACACTCAATGTACATTTTGCTACATCAACCACAAATTCTTAAATCCACCTGCCTTTGAAACCAGGTGAGCTGCAGGGTTCAAGTGATCTTTGTGACCTCAGCCAAGGCACCTTTCTCCTCCCATCTTCTCCTTGCCCTTGTTCCTGCCTCTCAGAGCCTGGAAACGAAGCCCTAATTAGTTGTTTGTTTTGATTTATGCCCCCGGGTGCTTCGTTAAAAGCAAAGACAATTGTATTATCAGCAGAGCTTGTGTCCAGAGATTTGGGTGTGAGGCAGGGGAGGGGGGGGATGAAAAATAAGAATCATTTCAGAAAAGAGGAAAGAAAAACCCAACCAACCAAAAAAAAACCTCAACAAAACTTGGGCGGAGCTGTGCTGGCAACAGAGGAGAAAACACCCTCTAAGGCCTTAAAAAAAAAATAAATATCACCCTTAGAACTTCTCTTATTATTTTATTGTTCTTTTTTTGGTGCTAAATTCACCAGGTAGAAGCCCTTCCTATTGCTGGCATGGCCATGTCCCCAGGTCTCTGCTCTTCAGATGTCCCTTTCCTGCTCCAAAGTTGCTTTTCACCTTCTTCTGAATAAAATCTACTCCTGTTTATACATCAATGACTCCTTTTGATTCCTTTGATCTACCGTGAGCAGCCCCCAGAAGGTGTGTAATGGCCACACCAGCCCCTTCTGGGCACCCAGAGATGTGTTGGAGGGGGGAAAATGCTCAAGAAGTGGCTAGAAAAAAAACTACTGCTCAGGATTTCTGGTTCCTTGTCACCACCTGTTGGGCGTTGTTGGAAAGAGGGGCTTTTTATTTCGGATAAAAATGTCTTTTTAATATATTTTTGTTTAGGTGCTGGTCAGTCTTGGGTCCCTGAGGGGCTTGTTCTTCTTCAGGAAATTGAGAAACAGCAAATAAATAACCCAAGACTGAGCCCAGGGAATGTTTCTTTCCTCAGCACCTGCTCCTGAGCCTGTTTAAGAAGAAAAAAAGAGGGCAAAAAGGGGCAATGTTGGGTGGTTGAACCAACTTCACTGCCCCTCACATTTAAAAATGATACTTTAAATTATATTTTTAATATTGGTTCCCCCCCCCAATTCGATGCTTGGGTGGTGCTTCAGCTTTGTGAAATGGAGATGATCAAATTCACTTGTTAATTCCTGTTCTCCTCAATTCCATCCACACCTTGAATCAATCATTCCTGGTATTTTCACTTATTCCCTCCTCCATCCATCATTCCCTATGGATCTACAGGTCCCTGCAGCACATTTTTCTAATCCTGACCAAGTTATCCCAGATTTTACAGTAACTGCAGATGAAAGTACCTGGGGGGAGCTGAACTTTTACCCAGGGCAGGTGAAAGTTCTCATTTTTGGGTGCTGATGGATGTAAACTGTGTCCATCACACCTAAATCATCCCAGTGCTGAATTCAATGGGTGAGGCTCCTGAAGAGTTCCCTGCCTGCTGGGTCCACGTGGTGGGTTCATCCTGGTCACTTACCCAGGGAAGAAACTCACTATTTTTGGTAACGAAATGCTGAATATTAGGTGGATAGAACAGGGATCATTCCCTACTAGGGGCTGTTTGGGTTTTTTGGGGAGCAGATGGAGAGGTGACCTCTGTCCTTTCCTGGAAGCAGCAACAGTTGGTGCAGCCCCCCCTGTCTTTGGGAGCAAAGGAAGAGGTGAAATAAAGGCAGATAAACCAACATGAAAATCAGGTTTGGGTTTGTCTTTTTTTTAAATGTATTTATTATCTTTATTCTTTCAGCACGATCTGAGACCCTGGAGTGCTGGAATTCTCCTCCCATGCAGGGCTGCACTGAGGGTTGAACATTCCCAAGGACAACCAGGCTGGAATTAAAAAAAACCAAGAGGTTTTGAGTAGGGATCTTGCACGTGGGGCTGGAGCAGCCACAAACCACTTTGGGGATGGTTTTTTTAGGGTGTATGAAACACTCAAGGCAACATTTTGGACGTGGTGTTGTTCCAATGACACCTTCTGGTGTTGTTAATTTAAAAAAACCCCTTTGATTCTGACAGGGAAAGGTCTTGGGACCCCTCTGGGCTTGGGAGGGGCTGATCCTTGCTTGGTCCTGCCTGTTCCCAGGAGATTAGGGTGTTATTCCCTGACTTGTTTTATAGCCAGTGCTGGAAAGACAGTGAAGGGAAAAAGTGTGGTGTGCTGGTACCTGTGAGGATAAGGTCCCACGTGGGAGAGGGAGAGTTGTCTCCTCACCAGGAGGTTGCCCTGCAAGGCTTTGCTCAGCTCTAGGGTCTCAGCAGCAGCTGCTCTTCCTCTCACCCATAAACTGGTGAGTGAAACCTTGGGAAGCATGAAGGACGAGCTCCTTGATGAGCCCTGGGGCAGCTCCCTGCAAGGCTGAGGGCTCCTGTGCCCACCAGAGATGAGGTCTCCCCAGATTTGACTGGGGAAGCAGGTGGCACAAACTAAGGTCCTGCCCCCAGGAGGACAAGAATAAATACCCCGGGGTTTGCTGGCAGTGACAGAGCAGAGCATGGACCAACCACCTGGCTGTGGAGCAGCTAATCCAGGCAGGAAGGTGCAGGGGTTTAATCTCCTTTACCTCCAGTGCAGTGACTTCAGGCTTGCAGGGAAGAGGTGGCTCCAGCTGGGCAGCCTCGGGAACGTCCCGTGTGTCACATCTCGGGTGGCTTCACACAAAGGAGGTGGCTTCAGCAGGTGAGGGAAGATGAGGGGGAGTTTTAATTAATGGTGAAAGTTGGGTCAGTTCTGCCAACAGCAGAAGTCATTGCATCCAGGTGGCTGCTGCCTTTGGGGGGGAGGGGGAAGGATTCACCTCCAGACCCAACCCACTCAGTTCTCATCACTCATAACGTGTCTCCCAGCTCCTGGGATGCTGCTTCTCCAGCATCTGTCCATGGGCAGGGAAGAGCAGCTCTAAATCCCCCTTAATAAGAGCAGGAGAGCAGCTCGTGGGACACCTGAAATGAGCTGGCTGGGGCTGGAGGGGAAAGAACCTCAGCCCTTCAGCAAAGGGTCATCCAATCATTCCAGCTGCTCGGAGCCCTTGGTCAGGCTCTGGGCAGCACGTGCTCTGGCTCTGCTCCCTGGGGGAATCCTGTCCAGAGATGATTCATGTGAGCCAGGACAAAAATCAATGTTGATTTATTCTTCCTGTCACAGAGTGTGGTTTGGGGAGCAGCTGATGTCTCCTTGGTGACAGCAGAGAGCAAGATGGAGGTGCTTTTTCATCTCCAACTCAGGTGTCTCGTTGGAGGCAGGAAGGGAGGTGAGACACAGCTTTTTTTGGCAAATCCTGGCTCTTCTTTCTGCATCATCCCACAGGAGGAAATGTTACCCAAAGGAAAGTGGTGTTTTAGAAGGGCAGGGAGTGATGGGAGGAGGGGGAATCAAGCTGAGAAAGGGGAGATTTGGGTGAGATCTTGGGGAAGAAATTCTTTGCTGTGAGGATGGTGAGAGCCTGGCCCAGGTTGCCCAGGGAAGCTGTGGCTGCCCCATCCCTGGCAGTGTTGAAGGGCAGGTTGGATGGGGCTTGGAGCAACCTGGGCTGGTGGGAGGTGTCCCTGCCCATGCAGGGGGGTTGGAACTGGATGGTCTTTGAGGTGCCCCCCAACCCAACCCAGTCTGGCAGTGTGATTGCACTGTGTGTGAAAGAGCTCAAAAGATGAAAGACCTAGAAAAGCTCTTCCTGGGACAGAGGGAACAGAGATTTTGTCCCAGATGTTCTCACACCAGGAGCATTCAGAAGCTAATAATAATTACAGTGAAAAGATAACAGATAATAAATTAAAGTATAATAAGAATTTCCCTTTCCAGCAGTGATGGGGATAACCATGAACTTCCATGTTTGAGGAACTGTGAGAAAGCCCCAGGATTTATTCCTGCTTTTTTCCTGGCATGGTATCTCCCTCCTTCCTCACCTTCAATTACCCACCCTCTTCCAAGTGTGTTCTGGCCTCAGGAACTCTGAGGTTTCCATCTCTCAGGATTTACCTTCAGTTCCCTCCAGGTCTGGCACTGCTGGACAGACAAGGACCATCATCCTCCACCTCCCTGGCAGCTCCTGGGGAGCCCTTCTGTTGGGGTCCCAAGTCGGGGCTGAGCTGCTCGGACGGTCAACATGGTTGGAGATAACGACACGTCTGGGTCCGAGTTCATTCTCCTGGGCTTCACCAGCTGGGAGGAGCTGCAGGTGATGTGCTTTGTCTTCTTCTTTGCCATCTACGTGGTCACTCTGACGGGGAATCTGGGGGTCATCATACTGATCAGGCTCGACCCATGCCTGCACACCCCCATGTACTTCTTCCTGAGCCACTTGTCCTTCCTGGACATCTGCTACTCCTCCACCATCCTCCCTC